TTCTTTGATTTTTCGATTTTTCCTCGTTCCAATTTATCGATTTTTGAAGTTTTCGTTGTTCCAATTTTGGGATTTTTCAATATCTCCAATTTTTTAATTTAAAATTTTTCACTTTTTTGATATTTCGATTTCTCGATGTTTCGATTTTTAAAATTTCTGATTTTTCGAATTTTGAATATTTTGATTTATCGTTTTTTTTTAAGTTTAAATGTGTATTTCAGTTTTAAATTTTCCGGTTTTTCGATTTCGGGCTATTTCGATTTTTCCATCTCACGGATCTTTTGATGTCTCAATTTTTTAATTTCGATTTCTCGGCTTTTCCATTTTTCAATTTTTTATTTCTTCAAGTTTTTAGATTTTATGTTTTGTAATGCTTCGATGTCCCGATTTTAACCTTTTTAATGTGTATTCCGATTTTTCGATTTTGGAATTTTCGATTTCTTACATCTCGATTTTTCGTTTTTTCGATTTTAAAATGTTTTTACTTTTCGTTCTTTTTTTCGATTTCTGGATTTTTCAACATTTCAATTTTGAGAATGTCTTATATTTTTCTGTTGTTTTTTGATATTTTCATTTTTCAACTTTTTAAATTTTGATTTTTCAACTTACCGGAAATCAATTTTTGGGTTTTTCAATTTTCCGACTTTTCAGTTTTGAGATTTTTCAATTTGTCGATTTTTTAGTTTTTCATTTCTTCAGTTTTTCGGTTTTTCAAGTTTTCGAATTTTTAAATTTAAAATTTTTCAATTTTTCGATTTTATTTTTTTTACGTTCCGATTTCCCGATTTTAATTTTTTTATGCTTTTCAATTTTTGGTTTTTCTAAATTTCCATTTTTCCATTTCTCGATTTCTCGATTTTTCGACTTTTTCATTTTGTGTGTTTTTTTTATGTTAAATTTTTCGTTACTATAATTTTTCTATTTTTTAAATTTTAGATAATTAGATTTTTCGACATCTTGAATTCTCGATCTTTTTTCAGTTTGAATTCCTCGGTTTTTCGATTTTCCAAAATTTCGATTTTTCAATCTTTCGACTTTTGAGTTGTGAACATTTTCGATTTCTCGATTTTTCAGTTTTTGATTTTCCAACTTTTAGATGTCTCAAATTTTAGAGTTTGCAAATTTCACTAGTTTTCAGTTTTTAATTTCGTCAATTTTTCGATTTGCAATTTTTCGTGTGGGTTTTTAATTTTCTTTATTTTTTCAATTTTCGACTTTCAGTTTTCCGTTTCTTTAATTTTTCATTTACAGTTTTTCTAGTTTTCATTTTAATTATGTAACACTCCTAATAATTATAATTTTTAAAGTTGTTCACTTTTTCAGTTTTTCGTTTTTGGAATTTTTCAATTTTTCGGTGTTTGAATGTCACAGTTTTTGGACTTTACAGTTTTCAAGATTCTATAATTTTTCAATTTTACAATTTTTGGATTTTCCAATTTTTCAATTCGAATGGTTTTTCTTCTTTCCTATTCTTCGATTCATTAATTTTTTTTAGATTTTTAAGTTTCTCGGTTTTTAGTTTTGCATTGTGTCAATTTTTCACTTTTTCGAGTTTTTAACTTTTCGAATAAACAAAATCGAAAAATTATAAAATAGAAAAATTGTAAAACTGAAAAAGTACAAAATGAAAGCTTCGGAAAATAAAAAAATTGTAAATCAAGAACTTAAAAAATCAAAGATTGAAAATGTAAAAAATTGAATAAACAAAAAATTATAAAATCCAAAGAAACATTGAAAAAATAAAGGGAATGGTAAAATGAAAAGTTGTGATATAAAATCAAGAAAATGAAAATTCAAAATCGGGAAAATGAAAATATGGAAAATCTGAAAAATATAGAAATTGAAAAATTCCCAAAATTGCGATGTTGAAAAATTGAGATCGCCAAAAATTTAAAAATCGAGAAATCGAAAAATTTTTAAAATTGGAAAATTGAGAGAAATCGAAAATTCCAAAAATGGAAAAATTGAAACACATTAAAAAATAAAAATCGGGAAATCGAAACATAAAGATTATAAAAGCGAAAATGGAAAATTAAAAAAATCGAAAATTTAAAATATATACTAGAAAAATCGAAAATTTTGAAAATCGAAAAACCAAGAAATCGAAATCGAAAACTTGAGACTTCAAAAGATCGAGAAATCGAAATAGGCCGAAATCGGAAAATTCAAAATTGAAATATTTACTTAAAAAAAAGATAAACGGAAAAATGGAAAAACTAACAAAATCGATAAACAGAAAATTCCAAAAATCGAAAAATTGAAATACAGATTGAAAAATTAAAAAAAAAATCGAAGTTAAAAAATCGTAAAAACAAATTCCATTCGATTTTCCGTTATATCGATTTTGCAATTTTTCGTTTCTTCAATTTTTGATTTGCAGGTTTTCTAGTTTTCATTTTAGATATGTAATAATAATTATAATTTTTATTAGAGTTGTTCACTTTTCCAATTTTTTAGATTTAGATTTGCAACTTTTAGATGTCTCAAATTTTAGAGTTTGCAAATTTCACGAGTTTTCAGTTTTTAATTTCGTCAATTTTTCGTGTGGGTTTTTAATTTTCTTTATTTTTTCAATTTTCGACTTTCAGTTTTCCGTTTCTTTAATTTTTCGTTTTTTCGATTTTAAAATGTTTTTACTTTTCGTTCTTTTTTTCGATTTCTGGATTTTTCAAGTTTTCGATTTCTCAATTTTTCAACATTTCAATTTTGAGAATGTCTTATATTTTTCAGTTTTTTGATATTTTCATTTTTCAACTTTTTAAATTTTGATTTTTCGACTTACCGAAAATCAATTTTTGGGTTTTTTAATTTTCCGACTTTTCAGTTTTGAGATTTTTCAATTTGTCGATTTTTTAGTTTTTCATTTCTTCAGTTTTTCGGTTTTTCAAGTTTTCGAATTTTTAAATTTAAAAGTTTTCAATTTTTCGATTTTATTTTTTTTACATTCCGATTTCCCGATTTAAATTTTTTTTATTCTTTTCAATCTTTGGTTTTTCTAAATTTTCATTTTTCCATTTCTCGATTTCTCGATTTTTCGACTTTTTAGTTTTGTGTTTTTTTTTAATGTTAAATTTTTCGTTACTGTAATTTTTCTATTTTTTAAATTTTAGATATTTAGATTTTTCGACATCTTGAATTCTCGATCTTTTTTCAGTTTGAATTCCTCGGTTTTTCGATTTTCCAAAATTTCGATTTTTCAATCTTTCGACTTTTCAGTTTTGAAAATTTTCGATTTCTCGATTTTTCAGTTTTAGATTTTGCAACTTTTAGATGTCTCAAATTTTAGAGTTTGCAAATTTCACGAGTTTTCAGTTTTTAATTTCGTCAATTTTTCGATTTGCAATTTTTCGTGTGGGTTTTTAATTTTCTTTATTTTTTCAATTTTCGACTTTCAGTTTTCCGTTTCTTTAATTTTTCGTTTTTTCGATTTTAAAATGTTTTTACTTTTCGTTCTTTTTTTCGATTTCTGGATTTTTCAAGTTTTCGATTTCTCAATTTTTCAACATTTCAATTTTGAGAATGTCTTACATTTTTCAGTTTTTTGATATTTTCATTTTTTAACTTTTTAAATTTTGATTTTTCGACTTCCCGGAAATCAATTTTTGGGTTTTTCAATTTTCCGACTTTTCAGTTTTGAGATTTTTCAATTTGTCGATTTTTTAGTTTTTCATTTCTTCAGTTTTTCGGTTTTTCAAGTTTTCGAATTTTTAAATTTAAAATTTTTCAATTTTTCGATTTAATTTTTTTTACGTTCCGATTTCCCGATTTTAATTTTTGTTATGCTTTTCAATCTTTGGTTTTTCTAAATTTTCATTTTTCCATTTCTCGATTTCTCGATTTTTCGACTTGTTAATTTTGTGTTTTTTTTTAATGTTAAATTTTTCGTTATTGTAATTTGTCTATTTTTTAAATTTTAGATATTTAGATTTTTCGACATCTTCAATTCTCGATCTTTTTTCAGTTTGAATTCCTCGGTTTTTCGATTTTCCAAAATTTCGATTTTTCAATCTTTCGACTTTTCAGTTTTGAAAATTTTCGATTTCTCGATTTTTCAGTTTTAGATTTTGCAACTTTTAGATGTCTCAAATTTTAGAGTTATTTTAATTATGTAACACTTCTAATAATTATAATTTTTAAAGTTGTTCACTTTTTCAGTTTTTCGTTTTTGGAATTTTTCAATTTTTCGGTGTTTGAATGTCACAGTTTTTGGACTTTACAGTTTTCAAGATTCTATAATTTTTCGATTTTACAATTTTTGGATTTTCCAATTTTTCAATTCGAAGGGTTTTTCTTCTTTCCCATTCTTCGATTCATTAATTTTTTTTAGATTTTTAAGTTTCTCGGTTTTTAGTTTTGCATTGTTTCAATTTTTCACTTTTTTGAGTTTTTAACTTTTCGAATAAACAAAATGGAAAAGTTCTAAAATAGAAAAATTGTAAAATTGAAAACTCAAAATGAAAAAACGCAAAAGTATAAAAGGAAAGCTTCGAGAAATCTAAAAACTTGAGAAATTGAAGGAACGGAAAATTCAAAAATCGAAAGATTAAAAATTGAGAAACTTGAAGATCTAAAAATTGCGGTCGAAAACACGAAAATTATGGTAAAATCTAAATATTGAAAATTGGAAAATCGAGGAATTGAAAATGTGAAAAATTGAATAAACGAAAAATTGTGATATAAAATCCAGAAAATGAAAATTAAAAAATCGGGAAAATGATATAAAAAAAATGAAGAACTTGAAACAACATCATTACGCCGAATATGTTCATTGAAAAGTATTCTGGTGTCGCGGGTGAAGGTACCACCACTGTTTATTTCGTAAGACGGTACTAACGTGGTACCCAAGCACCGTGCGATGGTGGTGTAATGGTCAGCATAGTTGCCTTCCAAGCAGTTGATCCGGGTTCGATTCCCGGCCATCGCATCTTTTTTTTTAATTTTTCTCAATTAAAAACACTATTATTATATTAACAACAATTTATTAACTATCTACATAACAGTTCTTCATTAAATTAAATAGGCGCATAATAGTACAACCTCTTGGCGGGATCTTTAACAAAAACCGGCTTCTTCGTCGTCGCCGCCTTCTCCTCCGACCCCTCATAGTCGTACTCCTCCTCTGTCTCATCGCTCCCGGTCACCTCTTCCTCCACCCCGCCCCCTTTGCCCTCCACCAGCTGATTAATCTTCTTCGGAAGCTTCGGATCTGTAAAATAAGAAGAAGGTTTAGCGACGACGTCGGTCAGTCTTTTTTCTTCCAATTCTTTCGTATAAGCACCACCGTGCCTCTTCTTCTGGTCGTACTTCTGGAAAACTTGCACGTCGCCGTCTTTCTTCAACGTCGCATTTTGGGTTTGGTTCGTTTTGGTGTCTTCTGGTACTTCTGCTTTGGTGGTTAGATTGTCGCTTTTTTGGTGTCGTCGTCGTACGACTTTAGCTGAAGCGGATTCTTCTATTTCTGAGTCAGGTGCTTCGGTTGTGGCTCTGTTGAGTTTGATTCGAGAAGGACGGCGTCTGGGGAAAACGCGCTTGGTTTTGCTGTGGACCGCCGGGTTGTTGTCTTCTGTGGAGGACGACGTGGTGGCAGTCGTAGGTCTTCTAGTACCTCTGCTTTTCGGGCGCGTTCTTCGTCTAGTACTTGGCGGTGGTTCGGTTGTCGTCGTCGTCGTACTAGTGGTAGTACTAGGTTCCACTTCCTCCCTCTTACTCTCACTCATCACGGGATTAATCTCCAAATTGTCGTCTTTCGTGTCGTCTTTGTCTTCCAAAATAACTGGTACTCTACTGGTTCTTACGTCCTCCGGGTCTTCTTCGTCGGAATTGTAACGACTGCTCAAATTGTGGCGCAAGGGAACGTGTGTCCGTTCGATCGTTTTATACTTGGAATAGTCAATGGAAGTAGTAGGGGTGTAATTTTTGACTTTGGGCAAGTAGTCGTTGATGTCGAAAATCTGAAATCCCTGTCCGCTGCTCTGTCCTCCAGGTGAATTCTGCACGTTCTCGAGCTGCGTTTCCTCTTCGTCTTCTACCACTTCAGCGGCTTCGGTCGTCGTCGTCGTCTTACTCGTCGTTTTATCAGGGATGGCTTTATAGCTAGAGTCGCTTCTAACCTTTGCCAGAAAGCTCAAAAACTCAGGAGGATCAGTGGAAACCGGTTTCGTCGTAGTCGTACTCGTGGTGGTCACCTCTTCCCCTTTTTCCGTCGGAGGAGGATCAGTGATTTCTTGATAATTCGGATTACTTTTCAACTTCTTAATAAACTCGACGTACGAAGGACCAGTGAATTCTTCAAACTTCACCGTCGTCACTGAGTTTCGTCTCGTCGGTTTCGGTATCGGCGCTTCTGTCACCTCTATGTACTCTTCGTCAGGCGCTTCTGTCTCCTTTTCCGTTTTATCGTAAACAATGCGTCCCGTTTTTTCGTCATAGTGATAATTTTTCGGACGATGAGGAACATAATCGTCGTCTTCTTCAATTACAGCTTCAGTTACGTCGTCTACATCTATGGGTTTGTTTCTATTTCGGACCACTTCGGAGTAGGCGGGTCTGACAGCGCTGCGTTTGCTTCTACGGTACTTGCTTTTCAACGGTCGCTTAAAATCAGAGTAGACGTAAACTTTCTGTTTCGGAGACGGCGGCTTCATTCCTAGAACGTAGAAGAGATTCATTCTCGTTTCTTTTGACAACGGTTTAGTGAAAATCGTCGTGTATTTGTTCGGGACTGGAGGCACCAAACCCACAACTGACTCCTCGTCATCGTCTTCTTCCTCTTCGTCGTCGTCCTCGTCTTCGACAGACGAAGACACTCTTGTATCCGACGCGTACGGTTCAGTCGTCGTCGTCAACCTCTTCTTGATCTTCAAGAGTTCCAAATTCTCGTACTTGGTTTTGTCGCGGTTGGCCATGTTTTCAAACAGTTGCTCTTTGTTTTTGTAGGAGGAATACTTGATCGTGCCTCTGGGAGCCACAGTCGTGGAATAGGCGCTCTCTTCGATATCGTCAACGGCTTCAAAAACCGGGATTTTTCGATAATTGTCGAGAAGATTGGTCTTGACGGACACCCGATTCGAAGACGCTCCCACCTGGTAGGGGTTTTTGCCGGAACTCTTGATGTTGTTGATGACGTCGGCAAAAACGTTGAGTTGTTCGCTAGCTTTAATATCTTTTTTGTAGTCGGTACCACCGCGCGGTAGTACCGTGCTTGTGCGGATGACCCGATTCAAAAGCGAGTAGGTGTTCCGTGGAAGGTACTGATTGACGTCGAAAACCTGGTAGTAGGGGCGTCTGGGTCTTGGTCGTCTCCTGTGTTTCAAAGCTTGACTTTCGGGGGGAGATTCTTCGATTGGTGCGCTCGTGGTTGTCGGTTCGTCCAGACTTTTACCCATGCGATCGACGATAGGAGCGTCGTTGTCGGTGCTATTGTCGATTTTCGAGTACTGCGGTAAGTACTCTAGTAACTCGATCTGGTGATATATGTGTTTCGGTTTCAAATCGATAGTGTACTTCGGAGTCGTGATTATCGAAATGACGGAAACCTCGGTCTGGTTTTCGGTAACTTCAGGTCGTACCGTGGTCACTTCGGTCTCCCGCGACTCCCGCGACTTGTTAAACTGGTTGATCACGTCCGCCAAAATAGTCAACTCGTGGTCTCTAAGCCCCGACTTATCGTCAACGGGTTGAGGAATCTTCGCCGAGTACTTTTTCTTCTCTCGGGTTTCGTTGACGTCCGGGTCGGTGTTCACCTTTTTGAAAACTTTGAAAATCGGAAGGACCGGACCAATCTCCTCTTTAAAAATCGGGCTGTCTAGAGGATCTTCCCCGAAGAACTTGATCTTAAAACAGTCTATTTTGTCCCCGAGATTCATCAAACGTGGCATTTGCACCAATTCTTGAACGTCTGTCGCGTCTTCCACGTTCTCGGGATCTTTGTCCGCGTTTTTCACTCTATGGGGGATCGGATCCACGTCAGTTTGGACTTCGGCACACCGGATTTTGTCCGCTTGGTGATAAAACGCCAACTCGTCTTGCGTTTTTTTCGGGATGTTGTCCAAGTCTTCGGCGTACCGAAGGGGCGAGTACGGGTTGATGGTAGGGTCATTGTAATAAGGGTACTTCGGCTTGGTTACAACTTGTTCGATTTGGGGAAGCCGGTGGTTGATCTTGTCGATGAAGTCCGTGTCGACGACGATTTTCGGAAAGTCGTTGGTGTAGCGTTTTTGGCGTCTCTTGTTGTGGTTTATGGCACTTTGCGTTTTCGCAATCCCGTCGGTAGTCTCAGGCGTCACTTTATCGTACCGATACACTTTGGGAAAAATTTTGACAAACTTGTGCGTCTTGGTTTCGTTATTAGGAGTGTGCAAAACTTTAACTTGACTCGAAACTTCCAATTCCGTGTTCTTGTCGTCTTTTTTCACAGACAGAGTTTTGCTTTCTTCGCTCTTCATCAACTTGTTTTTCTTCATTTTGGGTTTTTTGACGACGTGGTGGTGCGACCCTTGCGCTTCACTGTCGCCGGTCTTGCCACTCTTGGTCTTCTCGCTTTCGATTTCTTTATCAAACTCGGCGTAGCCTTCATCTTCTTCGGCCGTCTTCTCGTGGCCGGCGTGATCATAAGCCAGATCTTCGTACCCTTCTTCGGTGTACACAGTCTGTATCTTCGAATCTTTGATCACTTCGCGCAGTCGTGGGTCTTCGACTAACGTCGGAAGGTGTTGTTCGGACTCGCTGCGTCGCACCTGGGTGTACAATTTCGTCGGGACGAACTCCTGTTTTTCGTCGTCGTCGTCGTATTCGTCTTCTTCGTCTTCTTCATTGTCGTCGTCTTTGGCGTGCCCGAATTTCTGGCGATGTCGCTCGAAGAGTTGCTTATTCTTCTCGAACGTTTCGTAGCCGTCTGGTTTTTCTTCGTTTTCTTCGCGCTCGGGTGGGGTGAACACGTGTTTACTAATAAAAGGTCTATGTTTTTTGCCCTTTTTAGCCCACTGTCCTTCCCCTGGGTATATGGGACGCGTTGGAACGTCCAGAGGTACTTCGTGCACACTTATCGGTTTCGGTTTTTCGTAACCTACGTGTTCGTCGGTTCCCGAGGGTTCATGCGTGACGTCATCGCGGTAGTTTTTATACAACGGTGACGTTTTGGCCGGTTTTTGTTGTTTTCGGTATCCAGGGAAAGTCGGCGCTGGTAGAAACCCATGGAACGAGGGAAAAACCGGCTTCCACTCCCCCAACGTTGCACTAGCTCTAAACTCCTTCTTAACCTCTGGCTTTTTGAGGTTATGATGTCGAGCCTCTTCGTTCCTATTGACTCGTTCGTGTGTTTGCACATTTGGCGCGATTTCCCCCGTCCTGAATCTAGCATGCGTCTGTCCATTCTTCTTCCAAGAAGTCGGCACTCGGATGGCCGACGTCACGGTAAACACACCGATTATGATCACGACAGCTAACTTCATTTTAGAAAGCGTCACTGTTCATCATTAACCGGGACACAAGTTCAAGGCCGCCCTAATCCAACATGGCGACGGCACCCTGCAACAACCACCACTTAGTCCAGCGAAAGTCGGGGATTGTTCGAATTTCGACGAAATCGGCACTCGTGCGGCAACTTGTCGTAATTGATTCGACTCGATTTCGACGCCTATTATTATCACAATCAATTTGTGTTTTACGCATCGCCGCCTCGGGTGAAGTAAGCCGCGCCCGAAAAAGTGCCCCACTTGGGAAGCACACTCTCCTCGGTTTCAACGAGCGCCGCCACAAGTCCCCGGGGACGCCGCCGGAGCGACCGGGGGCGGCGCGAGCCGGATTTGGCGGGCTGGCAGCTGCGTCACGCGGTGCCGATTTGCGGAAAAATTCGAACAATCCCAGAGAAGGTCGTACACACCTCGACGGCGATTGCACTGTCCAAAGGCTGCAACTATCACTTTCGCGGCGTGTCACATAATAAACTGACCGGCAACTGGCTCTGGCGAAAATGAGAAGTTTAGAATAAAGTAGTGGTTTATGTAGGTTCACGGTCTACTTGGAGGAAACGCGGACCGACAAAAAGCCTTAAGCGAGTTTAGTTTATGTGGAACGGTAGCCGAGTGAGGTGAAAGTGACTCGTAATAATATTTATCTGGAGGCGGGGGGAGCCGATTTTTGCCCATTTTCGGGTATTTGCATTATTATGCTATATTACGACGGCATTGTTGTGCAATTTTAATGGAATACTTAGCAAAATTTAGTGATAACGTCACTAACTTTGTAGTGGGGATGACTCGACGAGTCTTATCTTAGCACTTTTAGTTCTTGATCATCAAATCCTTTTGGTCATTTTCTAAATTAAAATTAACACGGAAGTTTGTCGTTACAAAAGTAGAAAAAAATTAAACATATATGTAGTTGTGTTGATTTTGTGTCATCCTTTTTACTTTAATTGCAATAATGCAGTGATAAAATCCGTTACTTTAAACTCATTCTTGAATAATTGGAGACCAAATTACCGCATTTCCACCTGAGCTCCAAATTAGCGTTATTTATTAGCAATCGTAGAAAGTGGCTGAAGGTTGATTAAATTATATGCTGAGTAAATGCCAGTCGGTTTAGACCGGTGCAGTAATTGTCGCAGTGTAGAAAAGTCACCGCTCTATATAAAAAAAAGCGGATGTCCCAGACCCCACCCCTGCTGAACCCCAATTCCAAACCAATTTAAAGTGCGTCCGTTCTTCTAAACGAAAAATTAATAAACCAACAAAAACAATGAAAACCTTTACATCCTCCTCAAAAAATCCACTTACACATAATTACATACAACAACGGAAGTAATTTCAATACCAACACCGCAAACCACAACTCCCAGCCAGTGGCGGCTCGGCAACAAATGAATCGGGTTACTTACAAAAATGGTCAGTAGTTATTTCGACAGAACTTCCCTGGCTTCGGAAGTACAGTCCAACAAATACTGCGTCTCTAAGACAGTTGGGAGCCCGGAGAAGATTTAATATTCTTAAAAAAGACATTTGGGGACCCCGAGAAGGTTTCGCCTTATTTTAAAAAAGACAGTTGGGACCGCCGCGACTTTCACATTCTTAAAAAAATACATTTGGGGCTCCGAGAAGGTTTTACATGAAAAAATAGTCAATTGGGACCCTCGAGAAGGCTTCACGTTTTCAAAAAAAGACGGTTGGGACCCCCGAGAAGGTTTTACATTTTTAAAAAAGACAGTTGGGACCCCAGAGAAGGTTTCACATTAAAAAAAAGCCGTTTGGGGCCCCTGAGAAGGTTTTACAAAAAAAAAGTTGTTTGGGCCCCCTGAGAAGGTTTTGCATTAGAAAAAAAAAAAACCGTTGGGACTCCCAAGAAGGTTTCGCATTAAAATAAAATCCGTTTGGGGCCTCTGAGAAGGTTTTACATTTTTAAAAAAGACGGTTGGGATCCCTGAGAAGGTTTTGCATTAGAAAAAAGACAGTTGGGGCACCCGAGAAAGTTTCACATTAAAAAAAAGCCGTTTGGGGCCCCTGAGAAGGTTTCACATTTAAAAAAATCCGTTTGGGGCGCCTGAGAAGGTTTTACATTAAAAAAAAGTCGTTTGGCCCCCCTGAGAAGGTTTTGCATTAGAAAAAAAAAACCGTTGGGACTCCCAAGAAGGTTTCGCATTAAAATAAAATCCGTTTGAGGCCCCAAAGAAGGTTTTACATTTTTAAAAAAGACGGTTGGGGTCCCCGAGAACGTTTTGCATTAGAAAAAAGACAGTTGGGACACCTGAGAAGGTTTCACATTAAAAAGACGACAGTTGGCACCCCCGAGAAGGTTTCATATTAAAAAAAAAGACAGTTGGGACCTCCGAGAAGGTTTCACATTAAAAAAAAGCCGTTTGAGGCACCTGAGGAGGTTTTACATTTAAAAAGAGGCAATTGGGACACCCGAGAAGGTTTTACATTAAAATAAAAGCCGTTTGGGTCCCCTGAGAAGGTTTTGAATCAGAAAAAAAACCGTTGGGACTCCCAAGAAGGTTTCACATTAAAATAAAAGCCGTTTGGGGCCACCGAGAAGGTTTTACATTAAAAAAAAAGACAGTTGGGACCCCCGAGAAGATTTCACATTAAAAAAAAGAGAATTGAGACCCTCGAGAAGGTTTCACATTCTTAAAAAAAAATTACATTAGGCGTCCCCGAGAAGGTTTTACATTAAAAAAAAGCCATTTGGGACACCCGAGAAGAATTCACATTAAAAAAAAGACAAATGGGACCCTCGAGAAGGTTTCACATTTTAAAAAAGACCATTTGGCGCTTCCGAGAAGGTTTTACATTAAAAAAGGCCATTTGGGACACCCGAGAAGATTTCACATTAAAAAAAAGACAATTGGGACCTTCGAGAAAGTTTCACATTCTAAAAAAGACCATTTGGCGCCCCTGAGAAAATTTTGCATAAAAAAAAGCCCTTTGGGGCTCCTGAGAAGGTTTTACATTAAAAAAAAAGATAGTTGGCACCCTCGAGAAGGTTTCACATTAAAATAAAAGCCGGTTGGGGCCCCTGAGAAGGTTTTACTTTTTTAAAAAAGTCGGTTGAGCTCCCGAGAAGGTTTTACATTAAACAAAGACAGTTGGGACACCCGAGAAGGTTTCACATTAAAAAAAAAAACGTTTGGGCCTCCTGAGAAGGTTTTGAATTATAAAAAAAACCGTTGGGACTTCCAAGAGGGTTTCACATTAAAAAAAAGCCGTTTGGGGCCCCTGAGAAGGTTTTACATTAAAAAAAACGAATTGGAACCCCCGAGAAGGTTTTACATTAAAAAAAAGCCATTTCGGACACCCGAGAAGGTTTCACATTAAAAAAAAGCCGGTTGGGGCCGCTGAGAAGGTTTTGAATTAGAAAAAAACCGTTGGGACTTCCAAGAAGGTTTCACATTAAAAAAAGCCGTTTGGGGCCCCCGAGAAGGTTTTACATTAAAAAAAAAAACAGTTGGGACCCCCGAGAAGATTTCACATTAAAAAAAAAGAGAATTGAGACCCTCGAGAAGGTTTCACATTCTTAAAAAAAAATTACATTAGGCGTCCCCGAGAAGGTTTTACATTAAAAAAAAAGCCATTTGGGACACCCGAGAAGAATTCACATTAAAAAAAAGACAAATGGGACCCTCGAGAAGGTTTCACATTTTAAAAAAGACCATTTGGCGCTTCCGAGAAGGTTTTACATTAAAAAAGGCCATTTGGGACACCCGAGAAGATTTCACATTAAAAAAAAGACAATTGGGACCTTCGAGAAAGTTTCACATTCTAAAAAAGACCATTTGGCGCCCCTGAGAAAATTTTGCATAAAAAAAAGCCGTTTGGGGCTCCTGAGAAGGTTTTACATTAAAAAAAAAATAGTTGGCACCCTCGAGAAGGTTTCACATTAAAATAAAATCCGTTTGAGGCCCCAGAGAAGGTTTTACATTTTTAAAAAAGACGGTTGGGGTCCCCGAGAACGTTTTGCATTAGAAAAAAGACAGTTGGGACACCCGAGAAGGTTTCACATTAAAAAAAACCGTTTGGGCCTCCTGAGAAGGTTTTGAATTATAAAAAAACCGTTGGGACTTCCAAGAAGGTTTCACATTAAAAAAAAGCCGTTTGGGCCCCCCGAGAAGGTTTTACATTAAAAAAAAACGAATTGGAACCCCCGAGAAGGTTTTACATTAAAAAAAAGCCATTTCGGACACCCGAGAAGGTTTCACATTAAAAAAAAACGATTTGGGAACTTCGAGAAGGTTTTACATTAAAAAAAAACCATTTGGGACACCCGAGAAGATTTCACATTAAAAAAAAGACAAATGGGACCCTCGAGCAGGTTTCACATTTTAAAAAAGACCATTTGGCGCTTCCGAGAAGGGTTTACATTAAAAAAACGCCATTTGGGACACCCGAGAAGGTTTCACATTAAAAAAAAAACCGTTTGGGCCTCCTGAGAAGGTTTTGAATTAGAAAAAAAAAAACCGTTGGGACTTCCAAGAAGGTTTCACATTAAAAAAAAGCCGTTTGGGGCCCCCGAGAAGGTTTTACATTTAAAAAATTGGGACCCCTGTGAAGGTTTCACATTAAAAAAAAAGAGAATTGGGACCCTCGAGAAGGTTTCACATTCTTAAAAAAAAAATTTACATTAGGCGCCCCCGAGAAGGTTTTACATTAAAAAAAAAACGAATTGGAACTCCCGAGAAGGTTTTACATTAAAAAAAAAGCCATTTCGGACACCCGAGAAGGGTTCACATTAAAAAAAACGATTTTGGACCTCCGAGAAGGTTTTACATTAAAAAAAAGCCATTTGGGACACCCAAGAAGATTTCACATTAAAAAAAGGACAAATGGGACCCTCGAGAAGGTTTCACATTTAAAAAAAAACCATTTGGCGCTTCCGAGAAGGTTTTACATTAAAAACGGCCATTTGGGACTCCCTAGAAGATTTCACATTAAAAAAAAGACAATTGGGACCTTCGAGAAAGTTTCACATTCTAAAAAAGACCATTTTGAGAAGATTTTGCATTAAAAAAAAAACAGATGGGACCTCCGAAAAAGTTTTACATAAAAAAAAAGCCATTTGGGGCCCCTGATGAGGTTTTACATTAAAAAGAAGCAGTTGAGACAATAGTAGATAATATTACAGAAGAGTTATAAAATGAATATTGATTAATATTGAAATTTATTTCGTTCATTCCGCCAATGTGCAAATCAGTGAATTAGAAACTAATTTCTCAATGCAAAAACCCCAATAGAAGTTGTCTCTTGCTTTTGTAGCAAGAGCTTTGACGTGTTAAATACACCAAGCCCTCCTACAACTTTCTTTTCGAGTTCTTCCTGTATCAATTAGTTCTTGTTGCGTTTTCGTAAAGTGAAGTTCATAGGTGTAAGAGTGTTTTAGAAATTGTTTATCATCTAGTATTTTGTGCAATTTTTAAAAATGGTCCAACTCAAATCGTATTTAAAGCACAAGTTAAGGGAATGAAAACACGACAAAAAAAGACGTGGGAAATTTGCAAATATAAATTATTAATGTAGGACAATTCGCAAATTGCAAAACTAGTTGTGAAATTA